CATCAATTGTAAACCAGATGAAAAACATGGCAAACAACGTAGAATTTACACATAATATCAAAACATTTGATAATATACAATCCAAAAACCGTATACAGCTACCATTTAGATGTAAAAGGTCCAAAATAGAAAAGGATATGTGCCGTATAGGGACCCAGGTGCTCTCACAACCGTCCTCAAGGGAGAAGAAGAAGAGAGTGACAAACACAGCTGGTCATGTGACCCAAAAGGGCGCCAAAGGAGGCAAGGGAGACTACTCATGGGTGAGTGATGATTTTACGTCCGCTTCTTAGAAGGGAACTTCAAGGGATTTCAAGTGTTCCACTATCATTCGCAAGAAGAAGGCAACAAGCATTTAGCATGAGTCAGGATAAGGAAAACATTTCTTTTTATTAGAACTTTTGTGATCACATATATATTTTCATGTCTAATCATTCACCTTTTACAAAATCTTTTGTACTATTACACAAAGGGATATTCAATGCAAACCTGCTGTGGTCACAATCTTCATGGTTTTTCTAAATAAAAAGCCTAATTCATCGTTAGTAGGAAGTTTTGACCATATGCAAACATTTGAAAATAATGTGATCAGTAAGCCACGATTCCTCAGATTTAACTTACGTGATGTTTTTACTTTGTTCCTTCAGACAAATATATGATTGGCATCATGACTGCCATAATCGACGACATTTACGATTCGGGGTGACTATTGAGGGGGAAACAACTATCGTGATAGTGATAGTCTGTTGCAAAATCCCAGGTAGCATGCCATCATCGGCCCGACGTCGGCTGATAGTCGGCACCGTCGGCTAAAATCGGCATCGTTGAACAGCGCTGGGCCGACAGCGGGCCAATGTAACCCAGATAACACATAACATTTTCCAAATATGTTCATAAAGTTTCAAACTGATTTAACAAAAATATTTTCGTCAAAACACAGTCACAATCTTAAAACAATTCTCTCAACTATTTAAAAGCATTAATTATTCATTTAATTATTAAAAGTTGTTCATGAAGAAAGAAATGTTACCGCGGGAAAGGACGCCGGAATGACGCCACACCGCCACGCCATATTTTCGCACCCGCCATCTTAGTTGAAGTTTGTTGAGGACGGTACAACAATGTCATTGTGCAGCAACAAATGGAACAGTATCATCGATCTGACCTCGCTTATGTAAGTTAACTTTACAGTCACTACACGGTTGTTGTTATGTTTATGTACATTTTGATATTCACTGATCGTGCTACTCAGAAATCGCGATGTTTTGAGCAGCCGCATTACACGATCTGTTAGATTCGGTGTTGTTAGGCTTTCAACAGAAAGTATTATGTATGTTGTTGTGAAGGGGACCTAAGAGAGTTTGCACCATATTAATTTTATGTTGGATACAAAATTTTATTCAGCTATCAATGGCAAGCAGTATGTTCTTAACCAGAGTTCATGTCAGGTGGACATTTGTTGCTATTAATTATGTTCGGTTTTCGATCTAGTAAGCGTATGCACAGCTCACAAGCCAGTGACACTTATTATCGGCATTAATTTTGTTCCATGTTATTTCTGAAATAAATATTTTTTAATTTAACATTACACCTTACTATCAAATTTCTAAGCTATGAACAGTTTGCTCACTTCAGTCGGTGGGAAAAGTTGCATCAAACTTATAACACGAAAATGGGGAATCAAATACTTCCTGGTCCACCTGACTGTAGGCTATTAGTTACTGTCATAGTCTAAGTATCCCGTTATTTAAAATGAATGTTCAGTCAGAAATGACCGAAGCATACTTGGTAAGTTACTGTAACACTGACTAAACTAAATGTTGATCATCCCCATGGTTGTTGTGGTTTTGCTTGTCTAACATTCCCACGTTATTTTCAGTAAAATGCTAGGTCTACATTATCAAAGTAAGGTGTTTACATTGTGTATTCTTCAATTTTCCCCAAACGAATCAGTTTATCATTTTCGGACTTTATATTTCTCTTCTAAACGAGAGCCAGAAATAAATATGTTTCCCGCTATAACGGGCGCTATGGCATGACCGTCCTCGGCAATGTTCATTCGGTTTTCGATCACCATGGTTTTTCATGATACAGTATTAATTATTCAAATTTACTTAGTCTTTGTTCAGGATATGTAGACCAAATAAATTTATTATGGTTTACTTGGTTCACCGAAACATTTTGCCAATGAGAAAAAAAATATAGTGATCGAAAACTGAACGAATCTGGTTACAATGCTCGCAACGAAATCATACTGCAGCAGTAACTGTCCCACATGTAAGACGTGAATCATGTAGCTAGTTACAATAGCTATTTAAGTTATCAATTCAAGTTTGTATTCAAGGTTAGAATGTATAGAAGCGCTGTCCAGTAATCCATGTCTGTTGTAAAGGGGCAGAGTTATTTCCAACCCAACTTTATACACGTTGGTGTTAAATCTACACACGTTGACCCCCAAAAACTTTAGGCTATAATTATTACACAATATATTTCAGCATCGGACTAACTAGATTTATATATGCTTGGGGAATCTAGTTCAAGTTGTAACTTGTTATAATGTGGAACATTGTTATTTTTGTTGCAGCAAGGGCTAATATGAGACACAAGAATTCGCAGATGCAAACAGAAGTGATGGATTTATTGAGGATTACATCAAATAATCCAGGAGCTGTGAATCAGTAAACGTAAGTGCATCTGTTAAATGTCATTGTCTATATACTTGTTGGTGACGCTTTTGGCTTTTATTGCAAAAATGGATTTGTACCTGCCCTCAGCCTCTGACCAACAAGAGTGGTGGGGTAGTGGTTGCTATGCAGTGTGATTTGATAATATTATATATATATATTCAAGGATTTCCATTATTTTCCATTGTGTGCTGGTGTCCATCAAACACTTGCATATACATAGGTGCTGGAAGACTTCATTAACTGATTATTGTCTCTTGATTTGACTTAATACACATACTATACATTTGTTTTCTATATTTCAGAAAAAAATGGATAAAGTCGAAAACCAAAGAAGAAGATTCTGAAATAATCTCGAAAAGTGTAATGCGTGTTTGAAAGAAATTAATAAAGAGTGTTGATTACATGTCTGCCATTCTGTTTTTATGTTCCTTGTTAAGAGTAACAATGTCTATTTTCTATAGACATGTAACCTTATTGTTAACGGTTAGTGTTTTACTGAAAAGTTAAATCCATATCTTGACAGAAAATGTTATTACAACGCTTCCTGAACCATAAACATTCTCATGGATAAAGGTTTTCAGAAGCCTTTTGGTGGTTACTGAATTTTATAACCAAACGCTCATAGAACACACTGTTTCTGGAACCATACAAATTCATATGAATAAATTGTTTTAAAAACATGATATGTTTAGGGGATGTTTCTTCACATTTATATATATGTTTTGATACACATTTAAGATAGTATTCATTTATGAATTGTGGTACGTGCTATCAAATATGTATTCACGGTTGAGAAGTGAAGTGAGCAACTAAACTAACGGGTAAAAAGAAAACGATGATAAGTCGAAATCACTGATATTACAAAACGACAAACCACCATTGTGTAAAAGGAAAGTGAATTTTAATATCAGGTGTATGGGCATGTGTATGTATGGGCATGTGTGTGTATGTACATGTGTATGTATGGGCATGTGTATGTATGGGCATGTGTATGTATGGGCATGTGTATGTACATGTGTATGTACATGTGTATGGGCATGTGTATGGGCATGTGTATGTATGGGCATGTGTATGCACATGCATGTTGCCCATACACCTGATATTAAAATTCACTTTCCTTTTACACAATGGTGGTTTGTCGTTTTGTAATGTCAGTTTTTTCGACTTGGTATCGTTTCTTTTGCCCGTTAGTTTAATATTGCAGTGCCTATAAAGTGACGACGTTGCGTCGATGCAGTGCCAATAACGTATGCTGACGTTGAGCCGACGTAGGGCCGATGCAGGGCCGATACAGGGCCATTGAAGTTTGCCAACGTTGGGCCTACGTCTATACGATGAGCAAAACTTCATCGGCCCGATGAAGTTTGCCGACGTCGGGCCGATATTGCACACGACGTCGGGCCGATGTCGGGCCGATGATGGCATGCTACCTGGGATACTATTGCGATAGTGATAGTCTATTGCAACCAACTATTGCAATAGTTTTTCTCTCCTTGAGTTGTCTCATTTCCCAAATGTATAGTTTATAAGGAATAAAAACAAGTTGAAGTGGTTTCAGTCTCTTTTAATAACTAACAAGAAACTTGAAACCCAGATCAAGTTTGTTTTAAGAGGTAAAAGGGGCGGATAACTCTAAATCAAAGTGAGAGAATCTGGTACTTCCTGTATTTTGTGCTGCGCATTTATCAACGGATGTCAATTACTAAACTATCAATAGTTACACATACTACAGATGCATCGATAGATTTTCATTTCTACCATCAACTAATTGCTATCGGAGACTCAACAATTGCAAACCATCTAAGTTGATGCATTGTTACAGCCCTATTTACGATACAATTAGACTGTGCCATTGCAAAAGAAACTGCTACTCATATCAAGACTGAAAGTATATTGTTCCCAGATATGCAAGCAGAATGAGGCAAAGAATTTTGAGTGCTGTTATTTGCTGCTAATAAGTGTTTCCCTAACAACTGGTATTCCTTTATTACATTTGTGATAACATCCTTGCACTTCATATACATGATTCAGAACAATGCCTGAATGCGGGTAAGTACCATACAGTTGTAGCTTCATCAAGACTGGTATAAGAACTAGTGCACAAACCACTGTCGCCAAGCATACTGCAACAGTTCATGTGTGCTCTACTCCACAAGGCAGCCTGCCATTGTTACAACTGTTGCCATTGAATTTGAGAAACAAAGTATGGGAATTATAACTATCAAGTTGTGTGATGTGAAGCATGAGCCTATGACTCCCTACAGTTAGCTCCACCAGTCTTTCTTCAACACCTCTGTCATAAGAACAACCAACCTAATCAGTCGAAGAGTGTCTTTCCGGATGTAGACCAGGCTCTTCAGGGTTTTAGTGGGTTCATTTCCACTGGGTACAGGGTAGGGAAACTGAAACAGTCATTCAATCATGAATATAATGAATACAAAGAGGACCCCTCCAAATGGTCAACAATCTTGTTGCAAGTATCAAATGATACAGACATCTGTGTCCATCACATCAAATAGGTTATAAGGTGATATTAATTTTCATGGAAACTTTTTTTACTTCTACTTTTCGATGCAATGCCTTCATCAAAGAGGCCTGTAAATATGGTTATCTGGATCAAGCAAACCACAAGCCAGAGCAGTAATGGGGACCAAGGTCAGAACAAGTCCCATTTTATCCCATGTTGTTGGAGGCAGCTAAATTAGACGAGAACATGACTTGTTGGTTTACCACCTTTGCTCACAGTATCACTTATTGGTTTGCTTGATAGATTTGCCATTATAAAGTTGGAATACTGAAAGTCTCATTGCTAACATCAGTCATTATCTGATGACCATGTTCAACCAGAACAAAGCAACTACAAGCTGTGATTCCGAAGAAAAGAACATCAGGAACACTTACTGGCACAGGCTTGTTGCCAAGGAAGTTGAGATCTTCATTTTCACCGAAGAGGTATTCACCAGGCTGGGGTGAGTCAAACCGCTCTCCTCCCATAATAAAATGACTCCCAAAATACTGACCTGTCAGAAGAAAGGTAGCATCAATACATCAGTAAACAATATCACATGCATACAAATTGCCTGGTCCAGAACGAGTGGAAGAGGTTTTCCCATTACAAGCTTGGATGATGACAACAGGTGTGCATGAAGCTGATAATTGCCCAAGTAAGTGGCACAATGCAGGTTCATCAAGCCTAATTGTGTTCATACAGAACTAACAGACATTCCATTAACATATCATAAAGTCTGACTAAGTGGAAATAATTCAGCTTCTTTTTTCATTTCATAGTTACCACTGTCATGCCTATTAAGAATATCAATTATGTGCTATTTGACAGTGTTATTTGCTGAGTGATACTGTACATGGTCTACTAAAAAGTAATAATGTTTCAGAAAGCTTTTGTGAAAGTCATCAGTTATTTGTAAATTTAATAAAAACAACAACTAAAACTGTTGTTATTTAAAATGGTGGAAGGTTATCAAAAAAAAAGAAAGAAAAGTTTTTCAATGGGAATCATCTAGAAATTGTACCATCTTACAAATATTTAGATTGGGTTTTTTTAATCCCTGCCATAGGCCAAATATGCAAACAGTGCAGATTGTCAAGTGAAAAACATTTTGTATAGTGTACTCAAATCTTTACATATGCTTAATCCTCTGCCATAGGATTTTTTAAAAAAAAATTTACACTAAAATTAGACCTATTTATCTCTACGGTTCAGAGTGAGTGAGTGAGTGAGTGAGTGAGTGAGTGAGTATGGTTTTGCACCACTTTTAGCAATATTCGAGCAATATCACGGCTGGGAACACCAGAAATGGGCTTCACACATTGTACCAATGTGGGGAGTTAAACCCGGGTCTTCAGAATGACGAGCGGACGCTTTAACCATTAGGCTACCCCTCACCCGTATCATGCTTATGGTTCAGAAATATGGGGTGTAAACTAAACATAAAGAAGTTGAAACTACACAAATGTTTGGGAGTAAACGTTTTCTTGGTGTTAAATCCTCCAAGCCAAAACATGTAATCAGGGAAGAATATGGATGTTATCCAATGTATAGTTTTCCTTATAAAAGTTGTGTAAAATGTCCAACATGCGTCCTATATGCATAAAAATTGACAATTGACAAAATTGATTAAATTGATAAAAAAAATGTTGTGGTTCCGATTACACCTCTTCAATTTTTGGGTTGGTAGGTAGGAATTTTTTTTTTACATAGTTTTTTAGAAGGAAAGTACAAACTAATAACACATGTATCAATGTGTAATTGTTTATTCAATCAAGCTTGCGGCCATCATGTTGACTTTCTCTATCAGAATGACCAATATCTGTCAGTGCCGGGAAAAAACAATGGTATCTGAAAGCTTATTTTATTCAGTCCGCTTAAAAAAAATAGGGTCGACACCAGAATTCAAGGGTCGGTTGGGTAATCCGAGCCACAACATTTTGTTTTTTAGGCCTCAAGTAACAATAAGTTATCACTGAGTCTGCTACTAGGCGGGTTATGGTATCATTTGCAATTTAATTACTGTATCAATGTGATGATCATGAGATACAATACAATAGCAGTAACTGAATTACACTAATATTACAACATAGTATAAATAATAATATTTAAGTGTCTGGGACCCTCATTTTGTAGTCCAGTACCCCTGAAAATTAAGAGTACGTGTCCCAGGGACCCTCAAAAACAGAACTCACGGTAAATTCATGATGTCTGATACTGGGTTTCTAAAAATAAATGATGCAAGTTATTAGGTCTAGATTGTGTGAATTGATATTAAATGATAAACTATCTGGGGCACTAAAATTAAACATTCTCTACCTGCATGGATTTAGCTATCTCTGGAAAGAGCAATGTGTAGCTAGTGTCAGCAAGTGTATGTTGGTGTTTGTATACAGACTTCAGGAATGTTCTGAACAAGATTGGCAGGCAACCCTCAATAGTAACTCCAAATATTCATCTTTATGTTTCTTTCACATTTTCCTTTGGCTCTGAGCTGTGTATCAAAGAAATCAAGTTTCCAAAATTCAGGGCTGTGATGTTTCTCAAATTGGCTGTCACATTATATATTGTAAGCAAACAAAGATATCTTGAAGATGTTTACCAGTTTTTATTAGTGTGAAAGTTATACCAAAATTTAAGATCTTTGTACCTGACTAAAAGTTCTATTTCAATCCTACTTGACATAAATTTAATCTGTAATCTCATACATTCACTTCTCTCATAGTCATTTGCAAATATAGAATGGGCCACTGGCCTCCACTACAAAGAAAAAAAGGTTGATTGACCATGACAATGAGGGTTTCATCACAAAGCACTCATTATCGTTGATTGTTCATTGCTGTCAATACTAAACCGATTCTTTTAAAGAACCATGGATATCATGAACTATCTCAGCTGACCAAGGAAACATGGCATCGATGTGAAACAGCTGAAACCAAAAACTCAGTTGAATGATGAACCTGGGTTAAAATACCCCGAAGAGCTTCAGAATATTTCTGAAATATCATATTAGTACAAAGACACGTACATCGAACAAGATACTTTGTACATCTTTAGATGTATAGAATATTGTTCCTATGTGTGGATATTGACGGATATATTCCCCAAACAAGTTAACAGCCTGATATTATAGTAAAGTTGTAATCGTTTGGTTGTACATCGAACAAGATACTTTGTACATCTTTAGATGTATAGAATATTGTTCCTATGTGTGGATATTGACGGATATATTCCCCAAACAAGTTAACAGCCTGATATTATAGTAAAGTTGTAATCGTTTGGTTGTTTATATGATATTTGCATTTTGTTCTCATTCATTTGCTGTCGCATTTGGTGTGATGCCTCATTGGTTACTGATCAAACAATTCCATACATAAAAATTGTTAAAGGTCACATAAACCCTAGGGGGTAAAAATACATAAATCACTAACTGGCATCGTTATAAATGAAACCCTGTCATTAAAACTACTCATTTCGACCTTTAATTGACTTAAATCGACCTTTTTGACAACAGTGCACAATTCTCACCCGCGAACGAAATTTCAACCAATCAGAGCGGCGCGACTCTGTGACGTCATATGAGGAATAGCTTTGAGGGCCGATGCAGAATTCATCTACATTTTAGGGGGTAAATTATCTTGTTTACAGGCTTGTCTAAACCTGAAATCGTGACAATTGTTGTGGAAAATGAAAGCTATATGTTCTCACAATCTACTGTCATTTAATTTTGTCTCCTGCTTTGCCTAGTTTCCGAGTTACAACTTGTTCATAGACGCTTCTGTCACAATTGATTGGTGTCGTTAGGCCCTATTTGTATAATGACTGATCCAAATTGATCCCATTTCTGTGTTTTTTTACCTCGATATTTAATCATGTCATGTAAAAATCTGTTTGTATTCTCAAAACAGTGTCGGCCCATAAGTTTTCACATGCAATACAGCAATTAATACTCCCTTGTTGTAACCCGTGTTAGGTGGTATAAACCGACACATGTTATTTGTCATCATTCACTTGATGGTCAGTTAATGAATTTATAACAGGTATAATTAGTGGTAACACACTTAGATTACCCGACAAAGGTTCCCATTTGGCATTTCTTGTGTCTGGAGTAAATATTCAACATTATAAACATTGATCAAAGGATTAACCGATAACACGCTGATTGATTAATTACTTTTATCTTACACAGCGGAATTGTCAAAAGGTAGTGTTTATGTATGTAGATTTACTAATCTATACTGAATACACTCTGCCGTGTCGGTGTCTCGCGTAAAACAACGCCCTTCTTTCAAAGGATTAACCGGCAATACATTGATTGATTGCCCATTATTGGCTAACTAAATTACTGTTTTAATGAAAGGCGGACATTATGCAATTAGTTGCCAGGTGTGCTATCTTGGGTGACCAATGAGACTATACACCAATACCTGAAAAGATTTATCACTTTTTCAGATATTAAACTGTTAAAAGACACATCATTTGGAACAGTTTTGTGGATATTGATGGATACATTCCTCAAACAAGGTAATGGCCTGATATTGTTCCTATAACTTTAATCTGTTTTAATTTTAATATTTGCATTGTTTTTTATTCATTTGTCGTGAGCATTCAACAGAATCATTGTTTTCGCTAGCGTGAAGTGTAATGAGACAGACAACATACACTAGGGTGTGTGTGCGAATTATGATTCACATTGGCAAACTATAAAATGTCTAGATATTACAGTTCTGTTATAAATTCACTATAAGTATCAGCAGATCGTCAGCTTTTATTTAGTTTCAAAATGCATAAAAGTATGATAATAAACTAATTAGGATTATAAGACCAAATATAAAGACGCATACATTGACTAGTATCTACATACTGGTGAGTGGACATTAACCATGTGAATGTAGCAAGAAATTTATCGCTAGTATTGTGACTTCGACCCCCACCTCGCCTCGCGGAAGAAATAGTTATGTTATAAGTTGTGTCATGCAAAATCCTTTTGGTTATGATTCCAATACATATTTAACTTTGAGTAGAAAGTAGTTTTGATTTTCTAACCTTGATGAAAACAAACTATAATCTCATTAATTCTAACAGACTTTACGATTTTCAAAATGATGCTTACCGTCGGGAACATCCGCCAGTCTGTGGATAAATGCTATTTAGGTTTGTTTTCACCGACTTACAAAATCAAAACTACTTTCGACTTGGTAGTAAAATATGTATTTTATTGATGGCCAATAGGATTTTGCATGACATAGCGTGATAACATAACAATGTCTCTCCTGGCAGCGCAGGTGGGTGTCAATATAATACTACTTACAATATTATTGTTACTTCGACCACAACCTCACTTCCGAGGAAGAAATCGCTATGTTACAAGTTGTGTTATGGAAAATCTTTATGGTCATCAATCATATACATATTTTACTATACCTAGTAAGTAGTTTTGATTCTTTAACTTCCGTGAAGCGATCTGAACACAAGTAAGATATCGCTTCAGGCTTCCACAACGCCAAGCCGCGACTCACAAACATAACCCATTTAGCACGAACTGCGCGGGTCCTGTGGAAATCTGTGCATGGTGACACCATCACCCGACCCCTAGGAGCAATTGACGACAAAGCAACGATTCGCATGTCGTCGCTCAGGTCGAGAAATCATCAAAATGATGAGCGTGCTACACACTTTCTATACAACTAACTGAAAATCGTTCCTCATATGACGTCACTGCAGTGCTCTGGCGACAGAGTTACGTAACCTGTCTGTGGTTTCGTTGGCGGGCGAGAGGGAAGCAGGCGACTTTTTGGCCACTTTTAATCGCTCGGTATTAATTAACCTACAAGTTTTTAAAGAATAAATTTGGTGTTCCGCATAAGACTAACCACAAATCTTTCATATGTAATGGTTAAAAGAGTAACAAAAAACAAAGTTTAGTGGTTCTTTAAAAGTGCTATTAACATGATTAAGTTTTTAAATATATTGAGTAAAAGCTGCAACTAAAATAACTTGATATTGGAATACATAATTTCTAATAAATTAACGCCATCATTGCCACAAAAATCTTTACTGGCTAGGCAACAGTTATGGCCATATTTTAGCGGTATTTACAAAATTACTCCGCTGTTCGTTAAATTATTGAAACAAAATTAATCATGATACTTAATTAGCTATTCACCGATGTGTCCAGCCCAATCACTGCCGTCGATCATGATTTTTAAATAACACGGCGGAAGGGAATCATGTCAGTATAAACAGATGTTTTCTCACAACTGTAACAGTTATTGCCATTTAGAAATTCTCATGCCATTCGTGAAATAATATATATACCCTCGCGTCATGGGTTTGCGTGGTATTAAGAAATTTACGACTATGAATATGATCGCTCATATTGCCAAGTCATATAAACATAACATAGTGTTAGACGACATACCTTTGTATCATTTAATGTCAATAAAACACTTTTGTCATTCTGAAGTTAATTGTTGTCCGTATCGGATGACAGGCGGCCATTGTGCACAAACTCTGGTGACGTCATATGTTTCTGTGGTATTTCCTTCAGATCAAATTACGGGCGCACAGCACATGTCACAATCTCACACGTTGTCAACAGCCAATCAGGGAGTGTCAATTTAGGTTTACAGTAATATCGAAGTTGATAAATTGTAATACAGTAAACGATTTTGTAGAATTAACACAATAGTCACATTTCTTCAGCATAAATTTCCAGTTCATAAAATATGTAGAGTTGATACGGGCTACGTGAAATGAAAAGTGAAAAAACAACTTAAGAGATGACCCTATCGGGCTTCTATAGTTTAAAAAATTGAGCTGGGATTCCCCCCTTAGGTCACGTGATTGTTTTTATTGACGACATCAGCTAGCAGACGAGCGATGTTTGGAAAACTTTGAAGCTGAGTAAGTTTATAGAAAATGTTTGCAAAGATCGCACAAAAAATGCATTATGTGCTAGACATAAAGTTGAATTAGTTTTTAATAGTATATGACTGTTCGTACGCAAATTGATGAAAGTCTGAACATTTTTTGTTCAGACCCGTGCCGATCAACTGATGAACGTAAACAATCAATAGGTGGCGCGATTTGGCGACTGGCTCGTGAGAAATTATGTCATTAGAAAATACCCCGGAAACGTAAGTACCATGGAATCATATGACAGCATGGTATTTATATCATTCATTAACCTCAAATAACTGATTGTGTGACTATTGTGTATCTTTTACAGTAGATTGATAGGGAATAAAACAATTAATGACTTGTGAACTTGAATTTGCTATTATAAAAGTCTTGGGACATACCCCGACTAAGTTAAAATTTTGTTATAGGGTTCATTACTTTATCTTTAATTTTTCTCTTAATGTTACTTACCGTGAAGAATGTTCTTTTGCTGTCCTTTATTGTTGTCAAATACCGTGGGGAAAAAAATACCGGAATTGTAATTGACCAGAACCGTGCATGTGTTATACTGATGTACTGGCAATAACTGTTACGTGGCAATAACTGTTCGCTAGCAAGTAGAATTTTGGGGTTTTTTAAAACTGAATCCCAGATAGATTTGTGAGTGAGTGTGAGTGAGTTTAGTTTTACGCCGCTTTTAGCAATATTCCAGCAATATCACGGCGGGGTACACCACAAATGGGCTTAATCGAACTCGGGTCTTAGGCATGACGAGCCAACGCTTTAACCACTAGGCTACCCCACCGCCCCGGCTTACTTTACAAGAAAATACACACTGTAAACTTTATATCTGCATATATAACTGTGCCTAACAGAACAAAAAAATATAATTCAAATGCTAAATCATCATGTCTTGAGACAATCTATCTCAGATTTCACATTTTACTGACCAGGCTTGTTTTCAGCCATTTGTTTACCTGACGTCTCTGAAGGGATACTATGTACATTTTTATAGGGAGTACTGCACTTTACCGGGCACACTTTTTCCCGATTAATTAGCGGTGCTGGGGTTCCCTAACCCTAACCCTAAGGATCTTAAAGGGTTCCTAACCCTAAGGATCGTAAAGGGTGCCTAAACCAGGCCTACCAAAGAAAACTTTCCCACTGTGCAGAAAAACTCAGAAAAGCCCACATTAATCGTGGAAATAGCAAAATAAACACGTTACCTCGCTTCTGAAACAGTAGAAACGGCAACTTTAAATCGCTAACACTGCATCATAAAACGAGGAGCCCGCAACTTCGATTTTGCGCATGCGCACATGGAAGAGGAAGTCTCGACCGCATGTTGACATTTTCCAGCTTGGACAAATGTTACATTCCTTTTTAAGTATTTCTGTTGTGTTATTTGGCATTTATCATCATGATACTTGTGTGCACACTTGTTTAGTTTACGTTTCATTCGTATGAAACGATTGACAGCAATTATTTCGACATATTTAATACTTTTTCTACGCTAGGCGATTCACGGTTGCTCAGAATTTGGAAAGACGCCCGGATCATAATGCGCATGCCCAGTAGAGGTCAAAGTTCACTGATATAATAATGTTGCAGTTTCATGGTTTTTCGTTGCCGTTTTTACTGTTTCAGTAGCGAGGTAATGTGTTTATGTTGCTATTTCCACGATTAATGTGGGCTTTTCTGCGTTTTTCAGCACAGTGGGAATGTTTTCTTTGGTAGGCCTGTAAACCCTAACCCTAAGGATCGTAAAGGGTGCCATACCCGAACCCTAAGGATCGTAAAGGGAGCAGCGAGGGCTGCGCCCGGTAAAGTGCATTGTAGCCTTTTTATATAATGCATCAAACTGATATTCACCAGAAGTTTCGCAGTTTAAGTCTTGTTTGCATTAATCAAGAACAAAAACATATGTCAGTTTGGCTGTACCTCAATATTGTAAACGATTTTGTTATGATAGACAGTTTCAGAGTTTTGTTTCCATTACAGCATCCATTCAACAGCCTGTTGGATCCATTATCTTAGCTTCCTGACTTCTGACGCAAACCACTGTTTAAAAAAAACTACTGCAGAAGCATACATAAGATCAGTGCTCGCCACAAATCATCATAGATATACCGAAGCGAATTTAAGTTGAGGCAGTCAAATGCAACGAATCCAAGTCCTAAACCTTCCTTTGCGGGGTTTTAAAATGTTGCCTGTTTCGGATGACGACATGTATTAGCGGTTAAGTTAGCTCTTATTCATATTGTCATCGACACAGAATCATTAAGATGAAATATATGGTTGTTCGTTTTAATTCTCATTTTCTGTGACTGACATCCAACAGGAAATCTTTTAAACCTTAGCCAAGTGAAATGTTCTCTGAAAGAAAATCGCGTTCTTACCAGTTTTAGGTGGATATCTGTAGGCATTGCTAGCCGCTATGTCCACAGATTCCACCCCTGTATTCCTTCTGGAAGATAAAGTTGCTCCCATTTCCCCGATCTAGACTGTCATTATTATTATCACGAGAACTACTTCTTCCCTGTCTCAAAACATGGCCACTGATGACGTCACGGGCACTGGCTGGTCTATAATTTAACACGAATATTAACCATACAACTAACTTTTGTGGGGCAATTCCATTGCACGCTTGTGCTGAGATAACGTAGAAATGTCGATTAATTTTGATGATGTCGCATTGGGATCGAAGTTAATATACAGGTTATAGCACGGGGCACATTTTCTTTTCACGTCAAAATACACATCTAAAATTATTTGATTCACTAAATTGTTTCTTCAGCTATATCATATATATATATATATATATAGTGGATAGTGATTTGATTACAATCGTTGGGGTGTTTATACTCCATGTTTGTGTGTGCGTCTGTGTCTGTCTGTGTCTGTGTGTTTATTTGATAATGACTGCCAAACTCTCTGAAACTTTATTTGTGGATCGGAATGTTTTGTTTAACAATACTAACAAATGCACCATAGTTGAATTGATAAATGATCCAAAGACTAAGCAACAGAATACATGTTTTTGTAATGGTTCGCAGTGTCAAATAATATACTAGATATATGTATAAACTGAACTTCGGTGGTTGAATGTCTGTGGCATTGGTCCGTCGCATACATAATCGATACTGGCCACTTTCGATAAGACCATTAGATCGTTGAAACAATCAACATCCTCAACCATCCTTGCATAGATGAAGACATTTGCTGTTCCACAGGTTATGTATTATATTGTCCGTGCAAAGATGTCTTGCTGTTTATGTTATTAATTAGACTCCAGTATTGATATTCAAAGATCTCCCACGCCCTGGTAGTAAACTGTGTCAAGGAAATGGAAGTGTATAACACAATAGGTAAGATAATATGTAGCTGCATAAAAAAACTGTGTGATAGTTGTCCGATGTTTCCGACAGAAAACCGCCCACATGAAACTGATTGTTACTTGTCGTACACCATATGCTATTTCTACTCATTCTTCGATCAACAACAACTTGCACTGCGACTTGTGTTTACACTTTTTGGTGCTATCCGACACTTGGAATTTTTGCCATTTCACAACACATATAACCATGGATAACCTCAAACAACAGGTTATGATAAACCAGTTTGTCATGGCGGCTGGTTGTCACGCAGAACAGGCGAAACAGTTATTGCAAGCAGCGAAATGGCAGTTTGAGGTAGGTAGTCTGGCGAGTTAGGATGTAAACATGGCGAATGTTTATCATTGGAATAGGTCACATTCGGTGCCGATTCCTGGTATCGGTACTAAATCATTTGCTATAATCCATCGATACATCGAAAGATTATTCATTTCTTTATCGTTTTCCTTTGCAGGCGGCTCTTAGTATGTTTTTTCAAGATGCTTCATCGCCAATTTGTCGGACATGTAACGGAAACCACGCCAACGGAAATTACCCTGTGAGTATTTGGGCCAGAGACGTCCATATTTGATGACATCATTCCGGCAAATGTTGAAAATGTGACATGCGTTATATATCCTTCCAGTGACATCTCATTTCAAAAGTGTAATAGTGTGCATTTCGTTTGTAAGGTTCGCTATTAAATAGAAGTTATGGTATTCGAGGGTTTAAATCACTCGTTCCCCTCTCTCATTTGAGTTCGCCGTCAGCCGTGTTGTGTTTACATGTATTGCGCATGCCGCACCTAGTTCGGTTTGCTTTGTTTAACAAAGGATCTCACTCAAATAAAGGTGATGCCATTTGAATAATGGATGTTTCTGTTTAAATCTTTAGTTTCAGTTTCATTTTTGTAGCCAAAATATATGTATTTGGGTCATTGGCTGACTTTCCTGGTGAATGAATATTATAATTTATTCAGTGCCACATTCTGGTAATTTGGGGAATGTACATAATGGTTCATTGCAAATAATGTGTAAAAGGTATTATGACATCTGATGATGAGTCAGTCTTCATTGTCTATTTTCTATTAATCAGTCACTCTTTGATAAACAATGCACTCAGTTCAGTATATAATTGTTAAAAAACATTAACTTGATATTATTAAATGCATTTGCCGTATTTTAGTGAACATTGATTTCAAAACAGTGTTTCAAGACCCACAGAAGGCATTGTGATAACTTATAGGTTTGTGAAGGGATGTCTTTTACCTGTTGTTTCTGATAGATAAAATGAGCATTCACCAAATGTTAACTTAGTATTGTTTTCACCATTGGCATGATTAGGTAAATGTGTGTAAGTACTTGTCAAAGAAAATTTGGATTAATGTTGGTTTTCTTCCTAAGACTAAGGCTGGCTGAAATGTCTTGCATCACTTACAAAGCAACCAGAATATTACATATTTTCAGTATGCCATAATTTGTAGATGTTAACACTAACAAGTACAGAGATATTAATTTTGCATGATATGTCATACAGAATGCAATTTCAGACATAAATATGAACAGCTCAGCCTATATTTATGGACAACACAACATTTCATTACTATTTACTTTATCCAGTTCATGCACTCAGTGTTTACTTTAACTCTGCTTAATAATTTCCAAATACATTCAAGTAATTGCATGCGACTATGTCAACTTTGTTGTTTGTTATTGATGATATCCAAGCCAGAAAGATTGCCAACTAGAACCCATTAGTTGCCTCTTATAACAAGTAAAGGTTGCTGAAGAACCTGAAAAGTTATACCAGTGAATTATGTCCATCCGTATATCCACCCGAAGACTTTTTCATTCGACCAATAACTTGAAAACTGTTGGCTGGATTGTTTTCAAATTTGGGAACCACTTTCTTTGTATAAAGGAGAGGTGCAATGCAAAGTTTGGTTCTGATTTTCTAATTTTTAAAGAGTTATGTTTACAATTTATTTTGAACTTAAAGAACGTATAAACTTTGTTTTTTTTGTACACTTTTAACCATTACATATGAGACTTGTGGTTAGTCTTAAGCGGAACAGCAAATTCATTCTTTAAAAACTTATGGTTAATTAATACCGAGCGATTAAAAGTTGCCAAAAAGCCGTCTGCTTCACTCTCACCTGCCAACGAAACCACAGAGAGATTATGTAACTCTGTCGCCAGGGCACTACATCGAACCAGAAGTGAAGTTATGTGAGGAAGGATTTTCAGTCAGTGGTATATAAAGTGTGTAATAAGCTCGTCATTTTGCGGATTTCTAGACGTTTTCATCGAGTAAAAAAATCAAAACTACTTACCAGTTGTAGTAAAATATGTATATGATTGATGACCAAAAAGATTTTCTATGACACAACTTGTAATATAACGATTTCTTCCTCGGGAAGCGAGGTTGTGGTCGAAGTGACAATAATATTGTAAGTAATATTATATTGACAGCCACCTCGCTTCATGGATACACGCCCCTCTGATTCGTTGAAATTTCGTTCGCGGGAGAAAAATTGTGCAGTGTTGTCAAAAAGGTCAATTTAAGTTAATTAAGGGTCGAAATGAGTAGTTTTAATGACAGGGTTTTTATCTTTAAAGGTCACATGCAACGTAAAACACAACTTTGCAGATTCTGATACCTTTCGGTATGGACTTACCGAAACAAATCATCTAAAATGCAAATCCAACTTATAAAGTTGAAAAATAATGCGATGAAAAAAACCGCGCGAAATCGGAGTTCAAACGATTCACTAATTTTCCCCCGACTTTTCGGGGGAAAACTGGTTTCAACAGCTGGGCTGCACTCATAGCACGTGCGCAGTGAAATAGGTTCGCGTAACTTGGAAGCGGGCTGTCCGGTGAATACTCGGTGAAGGCTTTGGTGTGAGCTATTTTCCTAATGTTTTGTTGATATCTCACAGGCGCGAGCTTTTTTATATGTTATGACAGTAAATAAACTGTTTATATAATTTCATTTGTCTATTTCACCACACATTCTTCTTACCGAGTCACTTTCTCAGTTCGATACTTAAAAGCAATGTCATTATTTAGCGTTGACAGAATTTCTAACTGTGATATAGATATGTCGTTGTCACAGACAAAACTCAATGTCTTGTTTTATTGACACCTGTGTGTCTGCCTGCCTGTCTGCTTATGACAATATTCAGTACACAACTGCGATCACTGACCACATGCAATTTGAACTTAACACCAATCAGGCTATACACCATAAACAAAACCCGATTTATGGCCCGAGTTCGGTCTCTGTCACATTATGTAATTACACAGACAGGCAGGTATGATACTTGAACACATGACATGTTATGATGTCTGTTGATTGCAAAATGTTATACACAAAAAATGAGCATGTATTTACAAAACCCAACATCTCTATATATACACACACAATGAGCCGTGAAGGCGGCATCTGCAAATGAAACAGCCGTTACACTTGAGTGCACACCCACCCGCTCTGACTGGGTTCGGTATCCCGGCTGCTTCGTTTCTTGGGAAGTAAACCCAAGTACACAATATTGCACTTTTAATTTGCGATTGTACGCTTATGATTTTGTTTATATGTTTTTTCATAACCAGCAATGTAGATTATATGTCATGAATAAGTGATAATTGTGTTTTAATTATGTTCAATTGTTTGGTTGCATGTGACCTTTAACAATGCCATTAAATGATTTATGCATTTGTACCCCCCTAGAGTATATGTGATCTTTAAGAAACCCTAGGGTATTTGTTTTGTTCAACCAATAACTTGAATATCTTTGAATGGATTGTTTTCAAATTTTGAGATCACCATCCATATCTATAGGAGAGATGCAGTTCAAGTTATATTTTGATGTTTTTAATTCATAAAAATTCATCACAAATTACATCTTATTAACTCTACAAAAAGTCTGACATCAATTTTGTTCAACCAATAATCATAAACAAATTACTGAAGTTAGTATTCCTAAATGAACAATTTTTTGGGTGTTTTTTTCAGGTATAGTTTTGAAATAGATTAAGCATTATAAAACAAATTTATTGAACATTTGCCAAAATATTCAAGGAAAACATATGTAATGACCAAACTTCTGTCTTCTTCAAGCATTAGGTCATTTCAAATTTTGCTTGAAGAATGCAGCACCCTAAGGAGAAGCTGTCAACTAAGAGTAATGTACCTTTCAAATTTCAAAATGTAACCGACTTTGTAAGAATGTTAGGGCAATGTAAGAAATCCAGTTGCAACATGTTGACACTGGACAAGATCTGAGTTATGAGATGGTTGTGAATTTTTTCGAAAGCGGTTTGGTAAACAGCCATGTTTTCATCATCATTATGCTTTGTGTGGCTTTGGTAATAGTGATATTAGTGTCAGGAATTGGATAATAGAGGCTGATCATTCATTTTATAGGTCAATATGACCAACATGAGAATAAAAGTATCTTACAATTCACATAGAAGAAATATTATCATGATTATGGTTCATTTTCCTTGGTAATTTAGTCCTCTAGAAGTACTATGTACTTGTTCATTACTTCTCAAAATAAATCTTCAGACATGGCACTTGGAAAGGATTTCAGCAATGCAATACAATAAGCAAAGAAACCATGGCAATATCTCCTGTTTGAAATTAAGTTCATTTCCCAAGATCATTAGCAGAAGTGAAATATCATGGTTTAATATATTTTGGTGCTGTTTGTTCCCACTGACTGACGAAACCTTGTAACATGGCTATGAACAACCAATCATTGAGCCTATTACCTTGGCAACAGAATAACTATGCATCTATGAAGCCTGTTAATTTGATAATAAACCAACCATGCTCTGTTGTAAGCTATTAATTTCTACATTGATAGAACCTATTTACTTAGAGATAAACTAACCACTGACCGCTGAAAGATGCTATCTTGACGATACACATAATTATTGCTGAGATAGACCAAAGACTGCTACCAAACCCCTCACTGAAGAAAGCTTTTAACATGGAGATAAACCAATCAATCATTGAATCCCAGTCTAACTGAAAACATGCATGCAAGCACGCACTCATGCACACACACCTAAAAAAAGTACATGTACTAGGATCTGTTCTTTTCTGAAAATATTAAATTCTAAGTTGTGTTACATTTTGACCCTTCTAAATGGCATTGTGTGTATTTATGAAAATTCTAAGGCTGGAATAATGTAACTATACTGAAGGTTGCCTGAGAGAACAATGTGTGAAGCCCACATCTGGTGACCCCTGACATGATATTGCTGGAATATTGCTAAAAGCAGCATGAAACCCAACTCACTTACTCACAAAGATGGCATATGCTAACATTTGTTCTCTAACTTGAAACAAAAAATACCTGATTATCCTGAATGTAAATGGTCAAATGTTAATGTCTTTGGCACATTAGATAGGTTTGATTGGACAATCAGCCTGTTACACTTTTATAAATAGAATAAGGGACATTTTTCAGACAGGAAGACATTGAATTTACATCTAATGGTGGGTTTGTCTAAAAGATTACAGTGAACCGACCTTTCCAACCAATCA